TAGAGCCCAGAGCGGCAGGACCCACCCCGACCGCCCAGCGATCACGCGCCCGAGCCCGGGCACCCTGTCGCTGACAGGCCCCACCTCTATCACCCTACAGGCTCTTTCCTCTGCGGGAGCCGGGGGTGAACTGGCACGCCAAGCCTCTCACGCTCAGGGAGGTTGAGGTGAGTCCGTCCTGGGTGGCTGCTCGGGGTAGGGGCCTGGGCACGCCAGCCCTGCCTGGGAGCCTGCAGGGTGACAGTCTTCCCCTCCGAGTGTCGTCATTGTTCTTGCAGGCATCTGAAGAGACCTGGCCCGGCTGTGGGCACCTGCCAGGGTCTGGGCCGAGGCCCTGGAAGCTCAGTGGGAGGAATCGTCTCCCCTGGTGTGGGGACACTAGGGGGTCATGGGACAGCATTGCTTTTACCAAAGGCCCCAGAACTCCCAGGAGGTGACACAGAAGCCTCAGGGCCTGGCCAGGCTCAGAGCACCTAAGAAGGGGATCCCTCCAGCGCTCATCAGCCGGCAGTCCAAAGCAGGCCATGGGGGAGGAGGATTTGAGGGCAGGCCTCAGGACGGTCAGGACCCCAGGGAAGCCCTGCCTAGATCAGCGTCCGGCTGGCCACTCCCAGCAGCGTGGCCTCAGCTGGGGCTGTCTTTCAGGCATTCAGAAGCTCCGAGGAGGTTCGGGAGCGGCTGGTCCGGGCCTACGAGCTCATGCTGGGCTTCTACGGGATCGAGCTGGAGGACCGGGCCACGGGCGCCGTGCGCCGCGCCGACAACTATCAGAAGCGGTTCCAGAACCTGAATTGGTGAGGACCTGCCCCGCAGCCTGTCGGGTCTGGGTTCGGGAGGTGGGAGGTGCAGGCAGGTGTATGGGGGCCCCGCCGAGAGGCCCTGGGCTCTGAGCCTTCTACTGGCGTTCCCTGCTGTAGGGGAGCTGGGGCAAGTCCGTGGGGCACTGGCACAGCCACCGGGGTGCGCGTCTTCTCTGGGCCCCAGGACCGGGAGCCCAGCGCCCGCTCAGCCCGGCGCCCTCCCGCGCAGGCGCAGCCACAACAACCTGCGCCTCACGCGCATCCTCAACGCGCTGGG